TTCAGAGAGAGCAGTTACCGGTCCATGAAATGTAATTATTTTTCTAAGGGTGTATTTTTTTTTCGAAAGTCGGAGGCAAACTGTCTCAAATTCATTTCCGAAAAGTGGACAGGAAATGGGCCCCATTGGGACCGCCTACAGTTTCTTTGTAAACAATCAGAAGTCCTTCACAGTCTTGTCTCCCATCACTATTGCCTTCCACCTTGGTGACTCAAAACACTAAAAATAAACAAATACACCTCTGCGTTGCAATAAAACGCGTTAACAGCCCCAGGGGCCAATCATTAATTATCTATAAGAAAAAATGGGACAAATCTCGTCAGCCATCGTAAAAAATACTCAGAAAAAAAAAATAAACCGGCTCCCGTGGAATTTCTTCATTGGCGTTTATCACAATTACATTGACATTAGCAATCCTCGATTACGTCGGAATTATGATCATCATCTTCTATTTCTACTGGTCATACTCGGAAAATTCTGGATTTTTATCTAACGGATAAATATAATCACTACGAAGAATTCATTGTTAACATCGATGGTCAAGTCTTGATAACAATCGCCGCTGATAATTCCGTTGATGAAACTTTCCCGGAAATAATCAATACCCGAAGTTTTGCACAATACGCGATAACAGGCATGAAAAAATTCAAGGAAATCATCAAAAGAGGAATCGATATGAAAATCCATTCAAAATATTTCAAAAATTCATGTAGCCTCGGGTAATTTTATATATTTTCCCAAATTTCATGGAATATATGAAAAAACATGTACAATACACTTTACATTATTTACATTATTACAATACTCAGTATGTAAAGTCTCTCAAGTCTTTAAATTTTTATCCCACCCCATACACAGCAATAAGATAATAATAACAATTATTATACAAATTATAGAAGTTTCTCCTTGAGTCATAAACACTCGTAATACATAGAAATATTTGCTATATTTTTTCTCCCATAAATTGTGGCAAATTGGGTTGTAAACTCGTAAATTATAAGTGTAAAGAATTCAGGAGAAGTAATCAAGAAGGAATTATTTCATAAATAATGGAGTTAATAATTACCAGAGTGATTTCATAAATAACAATTAAAGTCTTCCTGGTATTTAGTGCGTGCAACGATGGATTTTCACCGAGTGGCTTCCAAAATAAAGAGGCAAAAACTTTTGATGTCATGAAATTCCCTCGGTTGGCATTGCAATCCGGAAATAATTGATGACAGCATACGTGACCCCTCGAAATTCTGTGAACTGTAGTTTCCAGGTATAAAGTGAGCTACCAGTATGTATTTTGAAGGAAAACAAGGAATTGAATGCGACCAGCTGTGCATGCTGAACGCAAACACTGTAAAATCAGAAGGGGAAAAAAAAAAGTTGAGAGTACGGCAGATGGTACTGAACCAAAAGCTTTTTCTCAGGACATTCCATTCATATTGTACCATCGATTGCTCTTTCCCTCACCCAATTACTCAGCCAATTCCATTATTTCTTTCTGAGTGACCGTTTGAATAATGAGTTCCCGTACTCTTCATGTTTTAATTATGTCACGCGTTTCGCGGATCGTTCGAGAAAATAATACCTCTTTAAAATGCTATTGGCTATCAACCGAGAATTAATCAATTTTATTTTATTCTTCTACAATCCAATTTTTCCAATCCAATAATTGGGTAATCAATTAATTTTTTTTATCGATTCATTAATTTTAGATGGTTCTAAAGTATTTGTACTCGCGATTAATTTTATAATTAAATTGAAATACCAAATTTGGATTATACGATGTTAAATATTGAAACTGTATATTTTTTCGAGGGAATTCGATCGACAGCTTATGAGAAATAATAGAAATAAAAAAAACGGTAATTTCAGCAAAAAGGGGCAGAGAATTCTTAAAAAGTTAAAAAGTGGAAAAGAAATATAAGAATAAATGTTAATCGAGTGATGAATCTGTTAATAATGTTTAATTTGTTAGAGTGAGAAATACAAATTCCCACTCAATCCATTTCTCATTACCTGGGTGATTTATTTAACGGCCTTTCTCTTGTTTAAATCCCCGTTATTTATCGCGCCTTCTATTTACACGTGTAGATGAATCCGAGGTGTAAGAGTGGGTCGCATAAATGTTGGGGATATGTGTGCGGATGAATATTTATGGTGAAATGGAAATTTTTTGTTCACCGAGTGGAGCTGAAGATTCTTGGTTCATCCTTTTGAGAGCAGATGCGAGAAGTGATTTGAATAAAGCCACTTCCCTCAGCCCGGTTTTCAAACTTCTAGGAAATCTTTCAATGGACGTCTCGACAGATGCCTTCGAACCACTCCCGGAACACAATTCAATGTACTTTTCATTTTTTTTTTATCAGAATTTCAATCGTTCCAAAATTCTAAGTAATCCATTACCGGACTTTTTAATTGCATTTCTATATCAATTTCCACAATTTCTTTTTCCAAAATCTTGCCAAATCTCATTAGCTTCCGGAGATTTTGAAATTCGAAATCAGCCTGACGTTTTGACTAAATCCCTTGGAACGTTTAAATAAATATATAAATTATCCTAGAATTATATTTATTCTGTTAGGCTTTAGGCTTTTTAATTATATTTTTATACCACTCGTCAATACTCTTTTCTGCAGAATAAAATTCTGAGAGCGAGATTCGAGGTACTGAATCTGCCGAATTATTTTTCCGCAATGGAAAAAAATTCCTGCGAGCGACGATTGCTCAATTAATCATTCTTCATTCATTGAATTATTCTCTATTGTACGCCCATGATAAATTTCAAGTGAATCTCAAGCCGGTGATTACTCATACCTAGTCCCAGGAAATCGTGTGACAATCAGCGATTGTCTTGTCAAACTCCGCAGTATTGAATTATCCTGTCGCAATTTTTCTACTCCACCTCCAGCAAAAAGATAAAGAATATAGTACATTAAAAAAAAAACTGCCACAACCAGAAAATGTCGCCATAAAACCAATAAAAAATATTTCCATAAAGATTTAATGAATTTTAATTCATGATCCACCGTCGACTCGACTCTTTGGTTTTGATTTTGTTTGTTTATTTATTTTTTTTTCAAATCCCCAGTTGCGAATCTCCGACTTCCGTTTCTCTTCTCTATTTGTTCCGCGCGACGAGCACCTAGAATTTATTCGTTTCAGTCAGTAATAACGTAATAAGATGGCCTGTCGCCGGTACGAAAATTGTTTCGGGGAACGGTAAGAGAGGCTAACGGAAGTGGTGCACACACGAGTATTTTTCAACGAGCAGGTGATCACGCAAATGTATCATATTTATAAAACCTGTGTCCCCCTCTCCCACAAAAATTAATTAAAATTGGGGTTATCCTATATAATAAATATTCTTTATTACACAGGGCCCAGATCTCATCATTATTCGATTATTCCATAAAATGACAGTACTAAATTGAAATTGCATTAACTCATCGATAAAATATAATAAACAATTTTAATAAAAACTATAATGATAATGATAATAACAATAATATAACAATACAAATGAAAAACAAATTAAGTCCATCCATAAAACTCTTTGATGTTGAGATATAAATTGAAATATTTCTACCGAAAAAAGTTATCAGTTAATTTCTCAGAAAAAAGTCTGATAAAAATTGGCTTTCCACTTTTACTATTCAAATATATTCAAGCCAGAAAATTCTAATAAATAATTAAATATTCAGAAAAGATATTTATCTCTTTCGAAGAGAATGCAGAACCCGCATATTTGTCCTATTCATCAGTCCCAAAATGATAATCAAATCTAAATCCATTGGATTTGAAGAACCAGAAACAAAAGTATTCTCAGAATTGAAGAATTCACTGAATGATTCATCATCTCAACCGAAGATCCTTATCTCTTGGAGTGAATCGGCCTTCCCAATTATCATTTCATCCATTTATTTATTTGTTATCACAAAAATTATAATTTCCAATCGATAATTTGAATTCGGTTGAAATTCCTTTAATTTCTTTAGCTCTCGCACGCGAAAATCCGTCGACGAATCGATTCCGCAATTTCATTAAAATGAATCACAATTTAACGAGTCATACTTGTGTCATAGGCAGACTGTTTGGCGCTTTCATATGTGATGATTACTCGATAACTATCGCTCATACACGACAGCTGTTGTGCCAGCGATATTTCGTAAAGCGATAAAAATGTGCCTATGACGATGGTTAAATGCCTACCGAGAATTCCTGGCTTTTTTGACGAGTTGCCATGTATGGGGAACAAAGAGTCATACGAGGAAACGACTTTGTAGGTTATTTGCATTAAATTAATCAATTCCAGGATACGATCAATGGCCCGACCGGGGAGTGACAATTGTTTGCCGAGAATTTTACGTGACGGCAATCACTAAATTCCTTTTTATTTAACACAAGAATTTCGTACTCACACAAGTCTCAAGGATTCCTGATCCAACAATTACACTTTCCTCATTCAATATTAATCGCTCAATAAATCATCATCAACGTAATTATCCTTTTGCGAATTATTAAAGTACTATAGAGGAATTTTCAAAAAAATCTTTTCAATAGATTAAAATACAGACTAAAAAAAGGTATGATCTGGTCGTCTTCTAATTATCCACTAATTCAATCCGATACAAGTTTCTATCTGATTCCTATTAGCGCTTACCATTTTCGTTTAATTAACAATTTATTATTTTAGTTTTTAATTCATTCTATTTCAAGAACATTCGTTACAGCCCATATACATATTATCATAATTTCGTTATCTCGTTATGATAGGGCGATAACAAATCGATAGCAAATGGAATTTCTCGTATTTCCAATGAATCAACTGTTGAGTCGCTGATGTATAGAATTTTTTTTATCAACTAGAACAGTTAAACTAGAGTTGAATGGGTGACCGAAATGAGTGAAATAGGGGATGTCAGAATTTCTTGATGATTTGAAATTCCCGCCAGACATGGCACTGTCCTCTACCGAGATGTGATAGTATTAAAAGACCCATGGGGTATTCTACGAAGCTGTCAGTGGTTTTGGGACGCGGTGGGTATTCGATAAGACTTATCTTCACAGTCAGTTGAATTTTAGTTGAGTAAACCCCTCGAAATTCCCAACAGACTGTTAAAATTCCTGGGATTCGAGTCATCACAGTGGAATCCTCTGAACCCGTGATTCTCTGGAATTTCCAGTTCGTGATTTCGGTGTCAATTACTTCGAGCATGTGCCAGTGAAATCTGGATTATCCCGAGGATTAATGTAAGCAGATAAAAATGGATACGAATGCCTGAGACGATACGAATGCCTTCGAGGGACTCAACTCAAAAGGTAAACACCTCTAAATCCAGAATCAATTAATCCAGAGAAACTGAGTCAAGGCACTCTCAATGTCACTATTTATGCCTCGAGCTGAATAATAATCCGAGAGGAAAATTCAATTGGCCTCGGGCATTTCAGCTCTTGTTGTCAATGCGAGATGTGAGGGCTGTATGTGCGTTTGTTGATTGATGATTGGTGAGGCGGAACGAACAGCTGACTGCTACTATGAATTACTACAGACGTACGACCTGGGGGGCAATGAAACGCCAGAGGGAGGGATGAACTATTTTTTTTTCTTCGCGTGTTATTGTTGTATTTTACTGCACTTCAAACAACAATAGTAGTTTGCAATGCAAGTGAAAGCGAGGCGTTTTTAAAATACTCGAAGAACAACATTTTTGAGGAAATCGAAATATATCGAAAAGTGCTCGACAGATCGATACGAAATTCTGCCCGGATGGGCTCATAAATAATTCTCATATTCATTATTCCATGTGCCTATTCTGCCTATTCCCCAAAATTTTCAATTTTCAACTTGAACTTTAATCCTTTTTATGAAATTTTAATTTTCATTAGTCTCAAGTACAAAATTTATTTTTTCGAATTGAATTATTCCATTTTATCATCTCTCCTGAGAACCCAGAGGTAGACACAATAAACACAAATGAGAGATGGGTTGACTCATCCCGTTTCACCTTTGTCATCAAAATAATTTCATGAATGAATTAAAAGTACGACTGCTCATTCAACTGCTTCGACACTTCATAAGTAAAAAAATTACACTGAGAGAAAAAATCACTTCTTTCAAGTGAATTCCCCTGTCTCTAATAAATATACAGAAATATTTGCGTTTGAAACGTCCGGATTCCCTCGTAATTAACTTGAAATGGAAACTGAATCTTTTCAAAAACTGCAAGTAAATGAGAAAATAATTGGAAATAATTGGAAATAATTGGAAATAATTGGAAATAATTGGACGTGTGAAAGAGGAAATTCATTCCGTGAAAGTGCATTAATCGAATTTTTTTCCCATCTGACAATTGATGAGATATTATTAGAGATGAAATGATGGATGTGAGAGAGAGACTCTCACGTGGGCGGTTTCACTGACAATGTTCTAAGAAGTAATCGAAAATTACATATCCACGGTAATTACACGGTTATTCGACGTAACTACACGTTTTCGTACTCCGCAACTCGAGATCTCATCGTACCATAATGTTTCTTTTTTTATTTTATTCACGGTATTCTCCTTTTCCCTCTCCATCGATCCAATTTCACGTAATTGAATGGATGACGGAGCACACGGGGTCGTTATTCCGCTCTCGTTATTTATTTATCCACCTCCTGTTGAATTTTTGGTTTATACATTATTCAGATGTCTCAATATTGGCTGGAAAATATTTTTATGCGCATCTCGATGGGGCTGACAAGAGTATAAATAAACGGGAGTAAAAATAATTCGCGAGTGTGAAACACGTGGGCTGTGGGAAACTATTTTTGAAAATTTGAATAGGTGACGCGTAGAAATCAATTTTTCCCCCAATTTTTTTCAATTATTTATTGTACTATGGCATTTTCGGGAGATATTTCATGTGGTGATGATTATTTTATAGAATGAGAGGAGTATTTGATTATTTATTAATTATTGCGCTGAGAGAAAATGATTTCGTAGGTCTTAAGAAGTTATTGCGGAGACCTTTTGGGTTTTCACGTTTTTTTAAGAATTTCTGAGACACGGTTGATATAATTAACTTTAAAAAAATATGCCATCTTCAACTTTTATTATTGTTCAATGTCTCAGGAGGAATTCCCCCGCGGTTTCAGTAAACTTTTCCAAAAATTCATAAAAATTGACTAAAAATCTAGAAAAATAGACCCCCAACTGTGAAAATTTGTGAGTCACCTTGAAATACGAAAACGATATATTTATTGAGAAAAGCGCAAAGATGGATAATTTCGGGTAAAAATGTGAACTCTTCCATCTGAACTCGAGATATTCATGAGAAACTTATTTTCCAATTGAATAACGTCTTTCGCTGACTCCAGAAAAGGAAGTCCATGGCGGATTAAATTCAGTGCCTTCTGGAATTTCACCACATGTTCTCAGGGCATTCGTTAATGATGCCCGATAGGAGTATAAAAATAGCAAGTTGTTATAATGGAATAGAAATAAAATAGTTGAGTTCATGAAGAAAGTAACGAGTCCCTACATAGAGGCCATAAATTAATGGCTCGACGATATCGAACTGCAGGAGATGCAGACATGGGAGACACCCACGTCTGATTCTACACCATAGACTTATGTATGTGTATATGCATATAGGGACAAAGGTCGATGAACTCGTGGCACTATAAATATTCTGCTTGCTACTTCTCCAGTAAAGACGAGAAAAGAAGCTCATCCTGTTGACTATTCGATGAGACCCATCAAGAGTCATCTAGTCTTGGACCCATTCAGTCGAATCAGTGGATCCATGCCACCACAAAAAAGCATAAAAAACCAGAAAACACTTACATAAAAAGCATCTGTAATCTCCGATCTCGATTGCAATCCGAAAATAATCCATCAAAGCCATCAAGCATTCTTCATTTCTCTCCTCTTCCAGCGAGATAAAAAAACAACGATATACCACTGGTACAATTGCACCTCTCAGTAAAAAATCATTCGTCACGTGATTTTTTTTTAATCTGGTGATGAAAAAAAAATTGAGTGACACGAGATCTGAATATCAAAGAATCAAATGGAGGGAGAAAAAATGCTGAGAAACATGATAGGACATCACTGTCGATTACTCAGGACGGTTTGGCCACTGACAGTCCACTCAGATGTCCAATCGACTTTCGCTGGAAATTTCAATGGCTTTTTGAATATCGAGATGGTGAACAAAAATGGAGAAAATAAGGAGAAAAGATGGATCGGGTTTCGATCGGGAGATGCGGGGATGGGGATCATATTTCTGGAAGTAAAAGCAAGTCTGGGATGAGATGTGGCGCATTTATACACTGCAGGGGGAATAAAGCAAAATCTCCATTCGGTGAAGATTACGGGGGCATGAAAACCTTCCTGGAATCATCAGCGTTTTGCCAACTCCCCAAAATCTTTCAGTATTTAAAACCGAGAGATCTCATCGCTAGACACAAATAAAAAGGTCTGAGGAAGGGATTGCCGAATTAATTTCGTCCTTTTCCTTTTCTTTTTTATTTCTTCGTTTAATTTTTTAATTTTTTCCTCCAGTCGTTCATTTCGTTTGATTATCAATTCCGTCCATTTCTCTACTTTCAATTATATTTTGAGAGATTGTTAATTGAATTATTATCGATTGAAAGAAGGGAATTGAATTATTCAAGGGAGTCGAATAATTCTTTTTAACAGATGAGTCTCGGAAGATTAAATCCGTAAATTTGGTGGTTTAAAAATCCCCAAAAACCAGTGTTAACCACCGGGAGGGATATTTTGTCGGGTCGAGGAAGCTGAAGTTGGTAAAAAATTCGGTAGCCGATGTAAACGTTTGGGTTATCGTTTTCTAGCCGTGAGGTATTCGCTCCGAAATCGAGATAGCGGAGACAGACCGAAAATAAATGGAGAAAAATAAGTGCCACGGGTGAAAGAGGCTGGACTGGATACGGCAGACATTCTTTTTCGAAAAAATGAGTGGAAGAGAGATGGATGCAGCTGTAAAGAAAGTACAGGCAAAATGGACCAACCGGGTAAAACGGACGCCAGAGGGAAATGGACGGCAAAACTCATACATTCTCTTCTTCTCGAATTCACTTATATATTCATTTATATATCTCCATTTTTCACTTCATTATAAGAATTCGGTTAATGTTCATCGTGAATATTAATTATGTCCGACACTTTTTCATTTACAATTCTGATTTGTTCAATTTTTCTAGCAACTTATCGATTTATCGATGGAAATGATGAAACAAAATATAACGTTTTTGCGTTTTGTCATTATTTAATGGCTCACGAACCTTTCTCCTAGTTTCGCGATTCTTTTTAAAAGTGAATAAAAAAACGCAGGAAAATGTTCGCACCACGTTGAGATTTCCACTTCGACTTCGAGTCATTAAATAATTACAAAATGTACAAGTATTTTTATTTTTCCTCGTCAATCCCATCGATAATTTACCAGAAAAATAGAACAAACCAGAAAAGATCGAGAGGATTGCATTAAATTTTATGTGAGTGATGAAAAAAGGGGAGAGACGGATTATTCGTTGGCAATTATCATCAAACAATAATTGATTTCAAATTAATTTCCGATGTCCGATGATGTCATGATTTTAGAAATGATTTCGTGTGATTTTACCAATCAGCTATTTGGAGGGAGTTTTTGTGTTGATTTTGGTGTCTGGTCCATTTTACCTGATTTACCTTCAGGAGAGGGACAGAAGAGTGGAGATGTCTTGGAGGTAGCCCTCATGGAGTTGTACACCAACAATCCCCGAAGCCACGCCTATGCAGCCGCCAACAATCCAACGAAGAGCCGTCGTGGCGGTGTTCCTGGAAGCCAAATGCACTCGTGCAACAGTCACGGCCTTTTCTCCTCCATACTCTATTATTTCATGTGAGAATGTGTTATTCACCCTTACAGAGACAATACGTGGATCTACGTAGGGATCGATCGATTCGACGTACACCACATTCCCAGAATCCAAACCGCCCACCCCGTATTCACACAAATATTCTGCAATAATTATTCTTCGCGATATCTCCAGGGGAATTACTTAAAATTTTATCCTATTCTTATTACAAATGCCGTATAACAAAATTAATTATCGGAATTCAATGAATTTTTACTCCATTTGGAGAATCTGTGAAATTATTATTTAATTATTCAATTGTAGATTTTACGTATCTACATAAATATTCTATGAGAATTATTATTAAAAGTATACGAATTATTTGGAATTTTATGCAACTTTTATGCAGATATGGTATTGCGAAATTAAATTTAAGTGATGAAATGATGATTTTACGGATTTTTTAAACGGAATCA